TTAAAGTATTTTGATTTAATGCACCATACTAAAATTTGCTATGATGATTGCGACGTAACTCTTGAAAGAATAGGATTTACAACTGTAAATTTAGGTTTAATCCTCAATGGGGTGAAAAGTTCACCTTACAACTTCATTGCCCACAAGTAGCGTTAGTACGTTTCTGCGTCAAAGATTTTGATTCGACGTCAGCAAATGATTTTGTTGGAGAGTTTACACTACCAGTGATGAGTATACGTCCAGGTTCGTGGTAGTTTTGCTCCTGAATTTGCATTAAAATGATCCTTACATGTACCGTCATTAGTCAAAATCTATGTATATTCAACTCATGTTATAGTACCTTTCTGGTAAAGAAGTTAATTTATAAACCTGTCTTATACCTTTGTCACTTGCGTGATACAGTAGTCAAATGTCTCATGAAGGGTCCAGTGATGCCTTTTTGCAGGTTATTCACATATCCGATTAAATACGGGTTATGGGCACGTTACTGATGAGTCTGCTTCAATATTCGCCAGAATTGGTATTGAGTGGACATAAATTTTGTTGAATGTATTTTGTGGATATAACCTACTTGTAAAACTGTTTATTAATTACAGAAGTGTTCTCTAAAAATAACCTGTTTATTTCTTATTTTTCATCAAACATGTATACATATTCCCGGAGACAGGACTTGAAACTGCAGGATTCATTTGCCTCACTTCTTCCAATTTTGAATATTTGTTTTATCTCATCCTTGTCTCCCTACCCAGAGGCTCAGCTTGACACTTACTTCTGCAGTAATTAATTTTTTTTTTGTTGTTGTAAGTTAGCTCACTTGCGAGTACATTTCACTTTCATTCTATTGCTGCCGATGAAAATAGTTTGAAAACTTTTTTTTTCTAATTTCTTCGTCTTAGGTGTTGAGAAAAATAGGAGACTGAAGTAAATGTTCTATTTTTTGCTCATCATCCCTTATTTCTAGCTGTAAGCCTCTTTCATCCATGTGTTTCATCGTTCCTCAATAATTCATACTCTACTGGTTTCTTTGTCATTCATAACTACCCTTGTGTTTTAACAGCAATAGGACTGTGATAAACGCATTTTTGAAAACCGCTTACATGACATTTGAGCAGCCGAAAATTCCGAAAGCATTGCTTTGCCAGTAAGAATGAACGGATTTGTAGAATGTATACCACTACACACTCAGTAATCGACATTAGCATTTCATAAACTCTGCAAAAAAAAAACTTTATTGAGCACCCAACATGCAGGCTTATTATGTAAGTATCAGACTTTTAGAATTTTTGAGTTATTCAAATATCTTATAACTACATTATATCCACTTAGGTATCCTAGGTACATAAATTTCTTTTTTTTCTGTATTTATATGCATTGAAAAGCAGCTACACAAATATTTTGGCAGCAAAAATTTAAAATTTTATAATTTCCTTCGAAATCAGCTTGCAGTTTTTATTTTCTTGTCGAATAGACAGTGTGGTCAAAAATTTACGTGCAATAAAGTACCTACGTCATTATCGAGAAGAAAAAAAAGCTTTCGTTTTAATCTACAAGGTCTTTTTCCCTTGACAAAAAAACATTGGTTTTTTAGATTTTTATTATGTTTTGAAAAAGTTTGTTAAAATGTGCAAAATTATAAAGGTAGGGAACTAAAAGACGACAGAATATGTTTAAGTTTATATTGCCTATTGATTTTACTATAACAAACATTTACTAGTATTTTATTTTTCATCACTGAGGTATTTGTTCCCAAACTAAAAAAAAATTCGATTTTTACACACAGCGCTCAAATTAACGGTATTTCCACAAAAATCTGTTGACACAGTGTAAATTATCAAAAGGTTA